AACTATAAATTAGTAAAAATAAAGGAAATAAACAAAACTTATAACGACAATTTTAAAGCATGGGACAAGGTGATGCTAAGTGAAATTAGCAGATGATAGCATTATAATCAGGCTCTATTAAAACTATATAAAAATTATTAGATCTGTAGACAAGATAGAAATAAAGAAAAAAAAGAAAACTATTTACTTGTTAGTACAGCCAGATTATGGCATTTTTCCTTTCCACTTCTATTGTTATAGTGTTACATATTTTTATTGTTTCATTGTCAAAAATACATATATAAGGATGTATATTTTATAAATTCTTACACATATTAAGCTAAAATCTACTCCCCTATTAAGTTTCACTACTTGATAATACTTTTGTCCTCTGAGGCCACAAAGACAAAAGCCTAATTCCTTCAAAATGACAGATCTTTAAATATTTAACAACTTGTTCCCTCTAGGTCTTCTCTTTTTCAAATTCCTATAGGCTTCCTAAGACCAGGCACTATGTCTTACTCATCTTTCTATCGCCGGCAGCTCTGAAATAATGTCTGAAATATAGTAGGCAATCAATAATATGAGGCATTGTACAGCTGAATATGAAACCCCTCGTTGTTCTGGCCACCCTTTCCCAGATATGTTTTCATTTGTCAACATGCTTCTTAAAATAGGATTTCTAGTTCCCTCTCAATTCCTTGTACTCCTTGTCTCCAATGACCTTCTAAAATCTACTCCAACCATTCATTCCACACTCATGGTTATAAAAAGTCCTGAAAAAACAGCTCTACCTAATAGATTCAAACTAGCCCACTTGTTCATTTATGCCCACTAGGTCTTCACTATCTCATCAGGACCTTTCAGTCAACGGACTGCTCCACTTTCACTATAGCCACAATATTCTTCCTGTCTTCACATCCATCCTCACCTTGTTCTGATCTCTGAGCCCATACATTAATTAGCTTTGTAATTTTCAATATAACATCATTTCCTTTGTCCCACAGTCCATGAATCACAAGCTCATGAAGAAAAAATCTTCAATGGCTCCAATTAGTAAGTTTTTTCCAAGCCTGTACCTCGGCTGCAGGGTGTTGTGGGGAAATTGTACCTTAGAAAAGACTGGTTCTTCTACAAATCCAGAATTACTGATCTCAAATGGTTACTCAGTGCCACTACCAATTCTAAAACACTAGTCTCAGTATTTCATTCTCCCGTTAGGCAAAATGTCAAACCACATCAATATTCATCAAACTTTTTTAACCCTCCACTTTTCCATTTCTCTGAACACGATTGTCCTTCCCATTTCACAGAGAAAGTAAAAATCAACACATGCAAACCCCCTCCACTTCCCAGCACCTCAGAAACGATCTGTTCTCAATAATACCATGCAGCCATAAAAAGGATGAGGCTATTTATGTATACAAAAAAGAACAAATAAGGAAAGTACAAAACAACATTTTTGTTTATAACATACTATCATTCATGTAAAAAACATAAATTTGCTTGAAAATGCATATAATTTCTGTGGAAAGATTAAAAACTACATATAGAAATGAAAAAACTACATATAGTTGCCTAAAAGGAGGGAAACTGAGGTGAAAGGGAGATTTTTCAAAGTATGTATTCAGTATTACTGGTTTAGAATTTTGAACAATGTGAAAATATAGTCCAAAAAGATAACAGACAAAACTAGTAAATATAATCATGTATGTCATGCTTTAAAATCCTACAATGCACTGCCTAGGTGGGGGTAACTAGGGAGTTATTATTTAACGGGCACAGTTTCGGTTTGGGATGATGGAAGAGTTCTGGAGATGGTGGTGATCACTGCACAACGGGAATGTACTTAATGTCACTGAACTCTACACTTAAAAATAGGTAAAATGGCCCTAGCTAGTTTGGCTCAGTGATTAGAGCATCGGCCCAAGGACTGAAGGGTTGTGGGTTCAATTCCAGTCTAGGGCACTAGTACCTCAGTTGCAGGCTGGATCCCCAGCCAGGGCAGGTCAGGGCACGTGCGAGAGGCAACCAATAGATGTTTCTCTCTTTCTGTCTCTCCTACTCCCTTCCACTCTCTTTAAAAAATCAATGGGGGGAAAAATATCCTTGGGTGAGCATTAACAAAGCAAAACAAAAACAGCTAAAATGGTATATTTTTTAATGAATATTTTATTACAATAAAAAAAAAACCTAAAATACTGATAACTAAAATATAAAACAAAACACTCTCCAATGCTTCTTCCTGCTATTATGATAAAGAGCAAGACTCTGACCAAGTCTTCATTAGCTCAAGAATATTCAGCTGAACCAGACTTCTTTTAGCTCCTCAGAGGCACAGCAGCCTCTTACCTTAGGCTTTAGCGTACAGATTTCTCTTCCTGGAATGCAAACAAGGATCTGTCATTCACAGGATGCTTTCTTCTGTCCTCTGTGCTCTGTGCATTCTGCTAGACTCGGCCGTAGCACCCTTCACTTGCCTTTTATGACTAATCACAACTGTAACTACCTAGTTAGCTGGATTAAAAACTCAGTGAAGGCTGCAACCATGTGAGTCTTGTTACCTAATGCATACTTGATGCCTAGCACATGGCAAGACATATAACAGGTAGCATATATATATATATTTATATTTATTTATTTATTTATTTTATTTTATTTTTAAATGAAAGGATTAATTCAAAATTAAAGCATATTCCAGATGTACTCTGATCAATGAGTGGAACAGAACCAGCCCTTACTCTGATGTTTCTTTGATTAATGTGTCCTAATATTACTTTAATTTATTTTTATCAGTTGTGACAGACAGTTGACTTCCATTTAGCGAAGGGTTATTCAAAACCAGAAATCTTTTTTAACTGAACTACTAACCATAGGTGGGAATTTCTCAAATCCCTTCCACACAAAACAGACTTTCTGAGCATAAGTGCAGAATTTATCCTATTAATTTTTATCTAATTATTTTTCAAACTTATCTCTGCCATGTAGTATATTAACTATGTCTCTCAGATTTGAGCCATTTGCAAATGGAATAGACCTGACCTCTATTTAGTCACAGATGAGAATTGAATGTGACGGTGCTGAGGACAAAGAACTGTGCAGTTTCATAAGGGACATTTCTTGAAGCTGACAATGACCTATTAATTAACACTTTTGGGGGAAAGCTATAAATATATTTAATATGTATTACTACTCAGAATTTTCCCTCATAAAAATTTAAACAACTATTTTTCCTACGAGGTGAAACCAGCACAAAATAACAATGACAAAGAAAGTTGAGGAAACTTGATAAATTACTATAGACATTCTGGGATATTCTTACCCTTTAAGGATAACATTAGCGAGGACAAATACATCTTCCCATAGAGTGGCTTTTGAAGGTGACTGCTGATAACGGGGTGCTTGGCTGGATTATCTATGTGACCTCTTTTTCTATGTAAAAGGACATTTATTAAAGTTGCCATTCCCTAAGTCTTTCTTACTTTCTTACTGAAAAAGCAGTAAGAGGAAGTCAGATGCGGGGCAAGCCATTTAAGCTCAGCAGGGGTCTATAAAATGACCGAGGGGACTGGGGAAAGGCTTTTCTAGCTCACAAGTGCTAATGGTTGACAACTGAATGTGCTGCCTTTTCCAAGTCATATTTGTATTTATATCTCCCTCTAAATATAACCTAGTAGAGGGAATGATGTAAGGGATTTTTGGATATGAGATGTTCCGGTTGAGTAACACTCTCTCTGTATCTGGTATCGTGCCTCTCTAATCAAAGGTGGTCACCTATACCTAGACTTCTCATCTCCAAACCACATTCACATTAGTATACTTCTGTTTGTCATTGCTTATTTAATTTAAAAAACTTTAAATGGTAAAGTTACATTTTGCCTAAGTTTCACTCCACTTTATTATGAATACAGTCATGACATTTCAAATATAAAATATGAATCTAGAAATGAATAACTAACCATAATTTGCTTTCTGCAAAATTATAGTGTGAAAATGACACCTTCACAGAATCAAAACATTACGGGGAAAATTAACATTCCACAGACTAACTTAGAATGCCAGGAAGTGCCTTGGTCTAAAGCAGAGTCTACGAAATCATAGCGTTTTCAAAGTAAAGAAGTAAAGGAATAACATAAAACTTCTGAAATGGAATCTGGAAGAAAACGCCATTTGAGAGGCACAATCATAATCTTGAAATGGCTGTCTCTAGTAAACAGGAAATAGGACACAATCTTCCCAGTCATAAAGCACTTCATAAAGATAAATTTTTCTTTGAAACAACATTTGTGTTAATAAGTAAGAAAGCAACAGGCATACACTTCTGCTGTTGTATGACAAGTCCTAATCCAGTTAATGTTTGCTTTATGTAGGCAAACTGGTGTTGATGGTCTGCAGGATTGTGATGAAGGGCTTGCCAACAACATCTGGTATCGTGCCTATTTGGTGGTGTATCTTAAAACTATTTATTATTACTTATGTAGAAAAAGACTGAATTTTTAATAGCAACTTTGCGCTAAGACACCTTAGTGGATTCTTTTTTGTTTTGAACATTTTTCAGCTGTTCCTCTCAGATCTTCCAAATGAGTAATATCACTGGCAAACAGTGATAAAAAAATTTTGCCTTTTTCTTTCCAATATTTACCTCTTATTTTTCTTCTGAGTAACTAAACTAGTTAGTGCCTCTAGAATAAAGGTAAACTGTGGCCACAGTGAAACATCCTTGCCTTCATTTTAGTGTTTCATGTGATGGTGGCTTTGGGCTTAAAACAGACACACACACACATACACACATTCATAAACATATATATTGCACATTTGTATATATAGTTATAATTACACTCACACACATTTGTACACCTTAAATTTATTAAAGACTGTATGTAATCAAGGGTGGATGCTAAATTCTTGTGATGTGAGCTACCACAAGTTTGAAAAACACTGGAACAAGGAATGACTAATTAAGCTTAATGTTCACAGTAAATAAATGAGGATTAAAGTTGATAGAAAATAGTTTGTCATACCTGACATGTGCGTCACAGTATCTTTTGGCATATTCAGTCCATGTTCCAAATTTTTGTGGAAAAAGAGCTTCAATCTGCATAAAAAGCTGTAACATATAAGTGTTCTCAATATGTTATAATATTTTCAGGTAAAATTTTATTATAATGATAAATCCAGTTAATAAAATAGTAAAAAGGGAAAGCTACCTCTCCCTCCTCGAGGTCCCTTCTTCCCCTCTCTCCTCCCATTGCTGTCATCCTATTTTCAGGGATAACTGCTGTCCTTTTCTTAAATATACATTTGTATATTTTCTATGCCTATATAAGCATATGTACATATTCATGAATAGGGCCATATTATACACAGGAAACTAGAATTTCTCCACCAAAACATGTCTTAGACACCATCAAAGCACATATATATTTATTTTTACTTAATTTTTAAAATTATATAAGCAATGTGTTACAATAATAAAGCACTGTTTAAAATCTACACCCGTGGTGTAGATTACTGTAAAAGGTTTAAATAGTCTCCTATTAATGGATATCTAGGCTGTTTCTAGCTTTTATGTAACTACAAAAATGAATAACAATGGAGGTCTGCAGGTATATGTACGCATATATAAAATATATGTAGATGTAGGTATATGTACTACATCTACCTTTATCAATCATCCATCCATCCATCTGCATTTCTATTAGATAGATTTGTAGGGTATATTTTAAAAACTGAAACAGGTGGGTTTAAGGTAAATGCTTTAATAGGGCTCCCCGGGGTTACAATGACCCTTATAGACTCATAAGAGTTTCATCCATTATTTCTTCTCCCCAACCCTTTAATCACTCCATACCCCACCTGCCTCTCAGAGTGGTAAAAGCTAAATAGGGCATCACACCAATGCCTGATTCCTCCATCCTAAGTAGATACTCTATTTAGTCTGCACCTAAGTGCTCTATCTTCCCAAACATGGATCTTACAGTAAAAGAAACAGAAATAGGTTATGTAATACAGCATAAAATATATAAAGATATATCCTTATATAAGATACAAAGTTGATTCAACTCCAATCCTAAGATGCTAATAATGTAAAATAAACTGGACAAAATGAAGATTAAGGCCACAGAACAACCAAAAGAACACAAATGTTATTTACAAATTTGTACTAAATATGAAAACCTTATAATAAAGGTAAAAATTATTTTTTAAATAGCAGGTACTCACAAGCATGGCTAAGGTACACATGTAAATAGATAAAAGTCAAGATAAAAAGTATATTTAATCATTAAGAGCTATCTAGAAATTACCACAGTGTTCTTCTGGCATTTGAGGCATCTAATTTAAAATTTCACACCAGGCGACTGACTGAGTTTTGTGGGGTTGTTCGTAAGCCCAAAGTGGAAGGATCTGGATACCTCTTCAGGCCTTCCCAAAGCCGGAGTTCCTGTGAGGAGCACGGCTCGCCTGGCCTTCTGCACCACGGGCAGTAGGATTCTGCTGCGGCTCGCGTTTCTGGACTTCATGTAGTGGGATTCATCCACTATCACGACGCCGAAGTTCTGCCTATTCAGCGCCTCTATCAAAGCCTGCGCATCTGTCGTCAGGAGGCCGTAACCCAGAATCGTCACTTTGCTGGTCGATATTCTCCTAGAAAAGAAATCCATGTACTTTAAAAATACTATTTAAGTAACCAATTTATCATAAACAGTACAACTCTTTGAGAAGAAATGCGAAGAAGAGGAAAAAACAAGAGCAGATGATACCACCACTGAAGCCCAACTTCTCTTAAGACTTTACAGTCTTCGAATATAATAAACCAGAATCCAAAACTTAAAACCTGGTTAATCAAATCTGAGTTTTTTTGTTACATGGGCTCTGGAAGATTTTGGCATCCCAGCAAGCCACGTTTTACCAGGGTAAGAACGTTACTTTCTGAGAATGTTTGGTTGGTGACTCCATGCAGCCTTCCTACAAAGAGGATCGCAGTGTGTTTTAAGACAGGTGTCACCAGGATTTTGAGCAGGACAATACTTAGTATTGCAGGGCTGTCTAGTACCCTGCAGGGCATCTCACATTCCTGGACCTGCCCTTAAAAGCCAGTAGGGTCCCTGTCACAATGACAACAAAAATGCCACCGGCCCTGGGACGATAAAGTGTGGGAAAAGAGGGGGTACCACATCACGTGGAGAAAACACTGGGCTAAAGTGATCCCTGATCTTTTGAACTATCTCTGTAATTCATATGTCTATAATATTACTTATCATACTCTAATGAAATGATTCATTTACATATTTATCTCCCTTACTATACTATAAGACAGATGAGGGCAAGGGATGTGTCTTAATCATTTTTGTATGTACAGTGCTGTGATCCCAATGAGTTTGTAGAATTAAATATTGTAATTAGACAATAAATGCATTAAAAATAAAACATGTCACTTTGCATTTTCTATATCACCAGTGAAAACACAGGACAGAGTTAGTCTTCTGTAATTTCCTACCCTCTAATAGAAAAGGATGGGCTCCTAAACAGCCAGCACCAACACTGCAATCATGTTTTTTCGTAATGACAACTGCATTTTCAGCTGTGGAGAAATCTACTATTGAGATTTATTTGATAATAATAGTGCTTGGCACTTTCCCCCCATAAATATTAGAAAGTTGTTCTTACCCAACATCAGTTTTATTCTGAATAACACTGATTTCTTCTGGATCTAGTTCTGGGATCCATTTCTCTATTTCTTCTGTCCAAGGGTACCTCAGAGATGAAGGGACCACTATTAAAAGTGGCCATTCCTCCTTATAGAAGTAAGCGATGGCAATTGCTTGAATTGTCTTTCCTAGACCCATCTAAATTAAAAAAAAAAAAAGATCAATATTAAGGCTAAAATATTTTGAAAGAAAACATAAAATATTTTATTTAAGAGTATTATTATCAAAATAATTTTCCAATGTAAAGTCAATTGGATTACACAGCTAATTAAATGTTCACGATTATAATGACCCTTAAAAGTCATTAGAAAAATTATATTTTTTGCAAATCATTAGTGATTGGACTTAGAGACAAAATGACCCCTACTTTAAAATATTAGTTATACTGGTTTCATATAACTTCATTTTATAAAGATTTAGGTTACCATTTATAATTTCTCCTTTTAGAGAACTCAAGAGCAAATGCCTTACCTTTACACTACAAAATCATGTTATTTTAAAGCTAGAATAAGCTCTAAATCATGTACCTTTTATAGGAGAAGTAAGCACAGAGTGGTTAAATCATTTGTTCAACTTAACACTTAACTGATTGCAAAACTAGCATGATGTCTGGGGCCCAGGTGCCTGGCGTCCTCCCACTTGATAGTTTCACACTTATACCGCACTGCCCCATCTCCAAGCTGAACCCACCTAACAGTTAGTTACTAAATGAATGTTGATAAAGGCCACATCCTGTGCATGTGCAGTTTAGGAGATGGCCAAGGACTTGAGGGTAATATGTATGCAGGTTTTGTGGGTCTTTCACTCAAGTTTCTTCCTTCCTGATATTTTTCTCTTCATGTACCAATGGCACAATATATAGTTTGAGAGCTAGACAGAGCAGCAGTCTCTGATAGAAACAGGTATAATCAGTCTATTTCAACTATGTGCCTTATGGCTTTAAGAAGTGAAGTGATGCATCTAGGCAGCCAAGGAAGAATGGAAAGCCAATTTTGTAAGCTATGAATGTACTACTTTATTAGGTTTGGAAAATTCTAAACACTTTACTATTCCCAGCTATTTTATCACACTCTTTCCTAATAACATAAAAGTTATGATTGCCTTTTAACAACTATTAAACTTAAAATGTTAAGTATCAATTAAAAAATGAGACATCTTAGAAAGAATAGTTCCCAAGCCAGGAAGTCTTGAGTTTAACTAATGGAAGGATCAGCGGGCTCAGGAGATAATGTGCTGAATCCAAGAACAACTATGGAAGCAGAGAATAGGATATAATACAGAGTCTGACTCCATTCTGAATGTTTGAATGTTGACAGCTTTTAAGCACCATCAGTTCTCTTTACCCTTCTGCCTCAAATTTCGGGAAGGTGATAAGAAAACATGGGTGCTACTTTCTTTGTCACCTGAGAGAAATTCAACCATATAAGCCCAGCCCACAAATGGAGAATCCTCATCCTAGACCCACCCGGTGAATCCAACAATAAACCAAGCTAGTCTACTTTTCCTGTTTTCTCAAGCTATTTTCATCTGCTTAGGATCCTCCCCTGCTCTCCCCAGAAAGTTTTATTATGTGAGTAATAAACTTTTTCATATCCTATGGTCATCTGTGTGGCATCATCATTTTGACATCTGAATCAAATTTTGGTGGAAGAGTCCACCCACCTCTTCTAAGAATATCACAACAAAGGAAAAGCCATTTCTCAATATATGTTAATAAGCAGGCATCATGATTTATATGAAAAGTTTTCCTTGAGCTTTTTGTTTCCTTGAGCAAAAAATCTCAGAATCTGATCAATTTGGAAATCACTGAAAAGAATGTTTTTCTGAATATGCACACCTGAACATAATACTCTATATTGGTTAGGGAATTCACCTAACAAATGAGATTCTAACAAGTTTTTATCCAGTTACCTTTCCTGGTAACCCCAAACCTTCTATTCAGCATCTCTTCAGTTAAAAGGTCATGTAGTTAAATGACAAAAAGTGATTTATGGAAATTGTAAGATATTTATCAACACAAAAGTAGTCAGTTGCTAATTTTCTTAAGTATTTGCTGATGATTGTTCCTTTGGGGGGCATTACCACTAAATGGTAAAGTTTGATGGAATAAACTCAAACAAAGCATGATTCCAAATTAGAAAATAAAAACATATTAGTGCAATCTCAAGTCCCCATTAAGGAAAGAAATTATACATAGCATAGAATAACTGACTTCTACATAAAATTTATAAATAGGAAAATAATTGTCTGAAAGTCTTTTTCCCACTAGAAACCAACTTTTAAAACATGTACTTAAATTTCAGTATTTTGCAAAGAATTTTAAATAGCATAACATTCAAATATAAAGGCAATAACACATGTGAAGTAATTTGGGTACAATTATATAGGTAACTACACAAGAAGAAATAAATAGAATACATTAACTTCAAGAGTACATTTTATCAATGTTTTCAAAATAATAAATTGCTTTTACTTAGGAGAATAATTTTAGATTTTCTTAATGTCTTATTCTATAAATATTAAGAGAAGGTAAATAATAATGATACTAAATGACATATAATTTGTTTTTACTTTTTATATGATTGCTTTAAACAGTAACTGTATACAGAAGATGCCTGCTGGTTAAGAATTTTTTAAAACTGTAAAATGTTCCAGTTTTAAAGCTATAAGCAGCTTGTACCTTTTAGGGCAGAGAGATAGGGCTGTCTTTAGAATAGGTGGCCTCTTTGTTCTAGAAGAGACTCCTTTGGAAGACCCTTTTAGTTATGCAGATTTAAACTCTTAATGAAGAATTAAGTTAATTAAGTAAATCACATAGGGAAATGCCAGACTGAAATCCTATGTTCTATTATTTATTATTGTTAAGGAGGTATATGTTTTAGAACTATTTCCTTGTTCTTGAAGATTAAGTTATAATTTTCTTTCCTATAGAGAAGTTTATATGGTATGTCTGAAAATGACTGTGTGTGTGTGTGTGTGTTCATTTATGTGTTATTGGTTCATAAGAGACAAGGAGAAGGGGACAGACAATAGGGATATGGATACATAGGCCCAGTCTTTTCATTATTCAAGACTAAAAAGGCCAGGGTAGAGAATTTAAGATCCAATATGGCAGTGGAGTAGGTGGAAAGTACACTCACCTTCTCCCAGGAACAAATTGGAATTGCAGAACAATCAACCAGAATAACCAGTGGAAGACTAGTTGAAGAAAAGTCTTATAACCAAGGATTTACAGAAGAAGCCACATCAAGACTGGTAGAAATGTCAGAGACGTAAAAGGCTGGCTCTGCTCCCATGGACTGGAGCTGACATTAAGGAGGGATATCTCAGCTGCAGGGGTTCCCCCTGAGAAGTGTGGGTTCTCAACCCCAAGCCAGGCTCCCCAGCTTAGAGCACCAGAGCCATGGAGAAGTGCCCACACATAGCTGTGAAAATCAGCAGGGATTCTGTCTGCCAGGGAAAGGTGGGAGTCTGCTAGAGACACAGGCACCCTCCTGAAGAGCTAATGCACAAAATCTCATTTGCAGCCACTCACCTTGGGCTCTGGTATAGGGAGGGCAGAGCAGACAAGAGTCGAGTGAGGAGAGACTGGGATTTGTAGCTGTGGGAAAAGAGCTGAGGGAACAGCGCCAGGATCCCTAAGCTGAGTTCTGCTCCCACACCGCATATGCCAACTTTCCTGGGTGGAGCACTCCCTTCCACACAGCATCAGCCTTGGGAAATGCAATAGCCCCAATCTCATGGGAGAGCCACTAGCCCAACTCTCAGGGCTCCAGGCAGCCCAACCCTCCTGACTCCTGGTGGCTCCACCGTACGGAGGGATGAGCAGAATCCAGGACAAACTGAATTGTGTGACCTGGGGTGGGGTCACTTCCTCCACTTTCCCCCAAGCCTGACCAGTACCTCCTCCTAATGGGAGATCCACTAGCCCCACTCTCCCAACTCTCAGTGGCTCCGCCCTGCTGAGATTGGGTTCTGGGAAGAATCTGGAACAACATGAATTGTGTGGCTCTAGGACAGGCCATTTTTGCCTGATGCCTGACCAGTGCAGAGCCCTCCCTTCACACAGCCAAATCCAGGTCTGTTTGGGCCTGATAAACTCTGCTAGTCTCACCCTGACAACCATAGCTCATCTATCTAATACATAAATAAATAAATAAAAACCACACATAAAAAGGCAGTCAAAATGGGGAGACAAAGAATCAGGCCCAAATGAAAGAATGGGAGAAATCTGAAAAATAGCTAAATGAAATGGAAGCAAGCAACTTATCAGATATAGTGTTCAGAAAAATGGTTATAGGCATAATACACAGACACAAGAAACAGTGTGGTGACAGGCAGAGGGGACATGGGGTGGGGTGTAAGTGGATGTGGGAAAAGAAGGGGAAATGGGAATGGAAAGAGACACTGCCTGGGGCAATGGGTGCAGGATGCAATGTGCAGATGATGTTTTCTTGAGCTGTACACTGGAAAACTGTACGGCTTTGCAAACCAATGTCACCCAAAAAAATTCAATTAAAATTTTTTTTTTCATTTAAAAAAAGAGATGGTTATAAGGATGCTCAAGGAACTTTGCGAGAACTAAAAATAAACTCAGTGGAACTATAGCAGCATGGAAAAGGACATGGAAACAACAACAGAACCAGCAGGACATGAAGAACACGCTGGAAGGAATAAACAGGAGGCTGGATGAAGACAGCCAAACCAGCAATATGGAAGACAAGGCAAAAAAAACACACAAAAACCAATCAGAGCAGCAAAAAGAATAAAAGAATTAAAAAGAATGAAGATAGTTTAAGGTACCTATGGGGACAACAGTAAGCATAGCAACATCACACTATAGGGGTACCAGAAGGAAGAGTGAGAGAGCAAGAAATTGAGAACCTATTTGAAGAAATAATGACGGAAAACTTCACTAATCTGGTGAAGGAAAAAGACACACAAGTCCAGGAAGTATACAGAGTCCAAAACAAGAGGAACTCAAAAGAGACCACAGCAAGACACACCATAATGAAAATGCCAAAGGTTAAAGACAAAAAGAGAATCTTAAAAGCAGCAAGAGAAAAGCAATTAGTTACCTACAAGGGAGCACCCATACGACTGTCAGCTGATTTCTCAACAGAAAACTTGCAGGCCAG